ATGACCCCGGGGCGGGGCCGATTTTGACCCTAGGGCTATAATTTGAACAATCTTGGTAGAGGTCTACCAGCAATGCCTTATGCAAAATATCTAAGCTCTAGGCTATTTGGGTCTTTACAATAAGGTATTTTAAGTTTTTACTATATGTACATATAGTGAAAATCAATGACCCCGGGCAGGGCCGATTTTGACCCCAGGGCTATAATTTGAACAATCTTGGTAGAGGTCTACCAGACAATGCCTTATGCAAAATATCTAAGCTCTAGGCCTTTTGGGTCTTTACAAGAAGATTTTTTTAATTTATTCTTATAATTCCTTTTGGTTGCCATGGCAACCAGATTTCTGCATGGAATGAAATTCTTTGAACAACTTTGGAAGCCCTTCACCCAAGGATCAATCCTGCCAAGTTTGGTTGAAATTGGACTATTGGTTTTTCACAAGAAGATTTTTTACGTTCACTATATAATCTATATAACAATGACCCGGGGCGGGGCCTATTTTGACCCCAGGGCTATAATTTGAACAATGTTGGTAGAGGTCTACCAGACAATGCCTTGTGCAAAATATCTAAGCTCTAGGCTATTTGGGTCTTTACAATAAGGTATTTTAAGTTTTTACTATATATGTACATATAGTGAAAATCAATGACCCGGGGCGGGGCCGATTTTGACCCCAGGGCTATAATTTGAACAATCTTGGTAGAGGTCTACCAGACAATGCCTTATGCAAAATATCTAAGCTCTAGGCCTTTTGGGTCTTTACAAGAAGATTTTTTAAATTTATTCTTATAATTCCTTTTGGTTGCCATGGCAACCAGATTTCTGCATGGAATGAAATTCTTTGAACAACTTTGGAAGCCCTTCACCCAAGGATCAATCCTGCCAAGTTTGGTTGAAATTGGACTAGTGGTTTTTCACAAGAAGATTTTTTAAGTTCACTATATAATCTATATAACACACAAACAAACAAACACACACACACACAGGTGAATCGCTATATGCCACCGCATCGCAGATGCTGCGGTGGCATAAAAAATAATAAGTGCAGAGCAGCAGTTTCTGTGCACTGCACTTCTTATCAATAAGATCTATCATTCTATGATGTTTCAAGTCCATAGCTTTCATACTTGAGGAGAAATGACAAGGACAAAAATAAAGTAAGAAAATCAACAAAGGGCAATAACTCAAAAATAAGAAATGCAGAGTATCAGTTCTTATGCACTGCACTTCTTCTTAATGAGATCTATCATCCTATGAAGTTTCAAGTCCATAACTTTTATACTTTCGGAGAAATGGCCTGGACAAAAATTAAGTATGAAAAATAACAAAGGGCCATAACTCAAAAATTTAGAAATGCAGAGTACCGATTCTTGTGCACTGCACTTCTTCTTAATGAGATCTATCATCCTATGAAGTTTCAAGTCAATGGCTTTTATACATTAGGAGAAATGGCCTGGACAAAAATAAAGTATGAAAATAAACAAAGGGCAATAACTCAAAAATTAGGAAGTGCAGAGTACTGGTTCTTGTGCACTGCACTTCTTCTTAATGAGATCTATCATCCTATGAAGTTTCAAGTCCATAGCTTTTTAAGTTGATGAGAAATGGCCCGGACAAAATTAAAGTATGAAAATTAACAAAGGGCAATAACTCAAAAAATAAGAACTGCAGAGTACCGGACCTTGTGCACTGCACTTCGGGTTATTGAAAGAAGCATGCATACCAAGTTTGAAGTCAATCAAACTTATAGTGACTGAGTTATGCTCCGGACAAGCTTTAGGGGACGCCGACGACGACGCCGACAACGACGCCGACAACGACACAGACGCCGCCGCCGACACCGCCGACAAAAGTAACCCCTATATGTCACCTTTTCAAGGCGACACAAAAAGGGCCATAGTAAGTGCGAAACTTGATTATACTATCGGCAGACAATCGATTGTGGTGGTCCGATTATTGATAGTGATTTTTGAGTCCGATAACCAACAATTGTCCCAAGTTCGAGTCCCGGTCAGGCTGCACATTTTTCTAACTCTGTAACATTTGGCGCTCAACGGGGGACCATGACTGCATTAACATTGCTCTCTATCGCTGAGAAACTCGAGGACACATTTCAATATAGCGGGGGAGTATGCTATGGTTCAGAACTGTTTACTAATTAGGGGAGATAGTGTGTAAGCGGCCGGATAACTCAGTCGGTAGAGCCGCGGTACGATATTCTGAGGGTCCCTGGTTCGAGTCCTGGTCAGGCTTCACATTTTTCTCCCCTTTAAAATTTGATTACATTTCACAGGATAGTTATAATAAATTATATATCATCAATGGAGCAGAGGACACAATAAATAAAACGTATATCACATAGAATGATTTTGCCAGCACGCATAGCTCAGTCGGTTAAAGCGCGAGACTTGTGGCTTCAAGTCCCGGGTAAGTTAACTTAAACATATGTCAGTCTTTCACTGTCCTCCAAAATAACCGCATACTTTCCTGGAGGTCCACGGACACAGTTGTATCATTTTGTGCTCAGATGAGCCAGAAAACACAATTCACAACAGTGGCTCGAATTATAAATACTATAAGCCTATATTTCAACTTGTGAGAAAAAATGTTAATGTTTTGACTTGTTTCTCAAAAGAAGTGACAGACTTTACGATCACACACGCGTTAAAAATTAAAAGAGGTGTGTAAGCTATTTTTTTAACGTTCGGAAATTTCTAAAAATGTCGATTTTTTTTCCCCAATTATACCCGGTGCCCTTTCCATGACAGCACGAACAGGCGTTTTTTATATAAAAATTTGTAGTGCATCACATGATGATACTATTTAGAAAATATTTAAACCCTTGGCATTGTACTTTCAAAGAATTCAAGTATATAAACCAAGCAGCCATAAGGGTAGGCCATTTTTGACCTAAGAGGGCATGATTTGGATAACATATATCCGCCAAGTTATTGGCATTATAGTCGCACAAAAGAATACTTAATTAAATATTTTACCTGAAAATATCTACATAAATAAATATAATTATATTGGCTAGAATAAGTATGGTACTCAACATTTTATAACGAACTCTTAAGTTTTACATTAAAATACATTAAATCAAGATGGCACCTAAGATCAACAATTCTGGTGTCTAAGTATAAGAAAAATGTATATCACACATTCGATCACTTCGAGTGCAGAATGTTTTTGATATGGACATTTTGGACTCGGAAAATGAAAACGATACTTGAAGGTGTACATCATGGATTTGATATGGCTTCGATTTGGGCTTGAAAAATAAACGCGAGGCTAAATGGAGTGCAGTATGTATTTGATACAAAATTTTGGACTCAAGAATAATGAATGGATGATTTTAGAACATCATGACTTGTGGTGCTATTCAATGGTATTCAATGGTTATATTTTTTCAGGTGTTAAGTACAAAGGAAATTTGTTATAGTTATATCACACACCATGATGTCATATGATAAACAAAAATAAATGTTATATCACTTACGTTTTTTAGAATCAATATACTGTTCTTCTTTCTCGGCTTTACTTGCTGTCTTCAGTTCTTTTTGTAACGTCTCTCCTAATTCAGTCAGGTCTGTTCGTTCTTTTTCTCCTTGTTTATGAATTGTATCAACTTCTTTGTCCCTTTCGCCATTTAATCTTTTCACAGCAGCATCAGTTTCATCTTGTATCTGTGTCACTCCCTCGGCAGTTTTAGACTGGAGAGATAGATATTGTTCTTCTTTCTCGGCTTTACTTGCTGTCTTCAGTTCTTTTTGTAATGTCTCTCCTAATTCAGCCAGGCCTGTTCGTTCTTTATTTCCTTGTTTATGAATTGTATCAAGTTCTTTGTCCCTTTCGTCATTTAATCTTTTCACAGAAGCGTCTGATTTATTTTGTATTTGTGTCATACCCTCGGCAGTTTTAGACTCGAGAGATAGAAGGTCTTCTTGTTTTCTTCTAATCATATCTAGTTTAACTATGTCATATTTCTCATCTAATCCAGCCTTCATCTTGTCTTGAATTGCTGTTGCCACATCGTCTAGTACCCTTCTTATATCTTCTTTACCAATGACAAGAGTGTCATTTTCTAACTTAATTATAAATACCATAAAATATACAATATCAATCAATATGCAAGTATATCAGAATTTAATATCTTTTAATCATAAAGTGTACATTTCAAAGATATAATTAATCTATAGTATGTATTTGTAACAGGTACGTGTGCAATGTTTGTCATCACTAATTTGTAAATTGCATGCTGATCAAAATTATGATAGTTTAAAATGTATACAGCAAAACTTTGCCTATTGTAGTAAACACAATTAGTGCTCGTTCCTGTGTCGAATAATAGTCACAAGAGCGTAACCAGGTTTATTTACAAACAAAACGTTTTGAAAATTAGTATAAATCTTCAGCACAGAACAATAATTGCTGTGTATTTAATTGAATATTCTGACTTTATTTTGCATCTCTCAGAGGGCATTTTGAAAAAAAGATTTCATTTGTGAAAAAAAAATGTTTGTCCATGTATATTTCCTTACGAGCCATTGCATAACGGCCAGCATTTAATAATATGAAACTATTTTGTTCCGGAACATTTTATTATGTTTACGCACAATATTCTTGTTCATTAAATAACAAACATATTTTGTTACAATGATCTTGAGAATAGACCATAATTTAATGGAAACAGTATTTTTCCATCAATGAAACAACATGATTTGTTCAAAATTCTATAAATTCTATAAAAAATATTCAATTAGACTTTAACTCATTTTACGTAGATTAAACACGAAATCACTGTGTTCTAGTCATACATCGAAATGTGTAACGTATTCAAATGTTAGAATAGTTTAATTACCTGTATAAGTTTCTGCTTAGCATCTTGCGCATGCGTGTCAGTACCTAAATACACGGGGTCAGAAAGTAGTTTCTGTAATAATTGAAAGTAATTCTGGAGATCTGAATCTTCTACTTCAAGTTTTGATGAATGTCGCACATTTCTTCCAATCACTCTCGCCTGATCAAAATAGAATAACAGTTCTCACTAAAAGATTAAAGAGTAAGAAGCTATATCAAATGATAAAAATATGCAGCAATGAATTAGTTTTTTCGTTCGCTTTTAATGAAACATAATTATTTGTGTCATACAGTCATTTAAGAAACATTCGTTTTCAAAGTTAAACGAACTATAATATTTTCAGCAAATATTTAGCCTTTTACTAAGTAAGTAATGAAATTTTCTGTAAACTAGCAATCTGTTAATTAATAGTTAAAATTCAATCCTTACTAAGGTACTAAATGATTCCCAGAAAGCATGATAAAATCTTAGTTTATTATAGATATCATACTGTAGTGTTAAATTTCTATGTTCAACAAATGTATTAACGATTGTTTTGTTTCAAAGTTTCGTAATTAGTATCGGAATATTGTTTACCTTTTCAAAAATATTTTTCTTATTGTTGAGGTTTTCACGTATTTTACCCTGGAAGTCTTTGTAATTAAGGATAACACTAATAATACCATTAAAGTCTGTTTCTGTTGCAGATGTCTTTTCTCTGTATCCATCTGGGGGCATGAAGCACTTTGCTACTTCCCAGTAATTACTGCACCACTGGGTGGCATCACTATTTTTGTACGACGGACCTTTGTACCTATGTGCATTGTATATTTCAGTTTTGAAGTTATGACATATCTTGTTAGGACAGCCAGAATAACTGTACTTTGTCGCAACATTTCGATGATACGTACATTTCCCGTGCTTAACTTTACAAATTGTGTCAGTACGGCAATGAACAACATTTTCCGTGCAGCAACTTGAACAACAAGTCCCACTAAATAAGCCATTTAAGTAGCATATATCATGCAGACATTTCAATTGAAATTGTTGCATTTCATTACAAACAAAAGATTCAACTCCTTCTTTAGTAAACAACAAAGCTAACTGAGCTTTAACCCAGTTATTGTATTTCTTTTCTAACAGTTTAGGGCTATATGAAGCCATTGCTTGGAAACTTTTTTTTTTCCCACTTAAAGCACTGGTGTGTCTTGTAAGCTCCGATCTATAGCTGAAAAAATATGTAAAATAATAAAGAATATTATAACATTTCAAGAGGGTCTATTTAGTATATTTTTGAAAGTTGTAATACAATATTCTTTAGATATGTCAAAAATAAAAAGCTCAGGTATTTTTTATATACACCTTGTTCTGAATTGTAAATAAATGCAATTGTTTTCATAAAATAACACTTCTTTATTAATTTAAAAAATAAAAATAAATAATTTAAATGCCTTAGTATAGGCAGAAATACGGTGACACATAGGTGACATGTGTGTGTTTTTACACACACAAGATATTTTGTCTTGATCATGAGTTACTAGGTCGTGCGCACGATATACTATGTTGTAGCTACGAGTAACAAAGCTGTACGCACAAGATACGTATACTATGTCGTGGCCACAAGTTACTAAGCTGTATGCACAAGATAATTTACTCCTGGGTACGATATACTTTATCGAAGCCGCGAGACTTAAGTCGTGCACATTAGATACTTTGCCGTGTCCATGAGTTAATAAATCGTGCACACGAGATAATTAAGTCGTGTGTATGAGATAATTAACCAATCAGTTTACAATATATATATACATGAATTTTTTAAACTTAGGACATTCCTGGCTAAAATTGTACATGTAACATAAATCTTGTCAACTACTTAAGGAATTAAGATCCTGTAACACATTTTTTCATGGTTTTATTTCATAAATATGATGCTCAAATTAAGATTTGTCAATACTGTAAGTTCAAGTAAGCATTATTTATATATATTGAAGATATTACCGAATTTAACTTTCATGTAAATAATGGGAGGTAATTAGAAAATTATTTTCTATAAATTCTAAGTCAAATTTTCCAATAAGAAATGAATGCATATAATTTATTGATTAAATATAATGTGAACACATATTTGCAGTACACATTTTACATATTCTTTGATGTTTTGAAAATTGTTTTATTTACAAAACTATATACATATATATTTTTTGCAAGTGTGGTATACACGCAGTAACAATATCAATCACAAAACATACAGGATATTTAAGGATCATAAGTGGTAGTTATCCAAGGCCCATAAATCAAATAATATTTTTTACTACTGTATGGCCCTTTTGTGGGGACCATTCTTTTGATCAATATGTACGTGCTAACGAACTGTTAACCATGTACATACGATTACTTTTGAAGGAATAAATCCAAGTTATTTTATTAGGTAGGGCCATTGCCCGTGGCCATGACCATTAAATGATCTATATTGATGTTTGACCTGATGATCTGATGAATAACTTAAGAAGGAATGAGACATGGTTAATATAACCTAGTACGAACATTGCACCTGTAGATGACACCTAATAATTTTGAGGAAATAGGGTCAAACATCAGGGTCAGAATGACACTTAATGTATAATCGTTGTCCACTAAATAAATTATAATTATGGCACTCTGACAGGCAGGTGAAAGAGGAACATAATTGTCCTACGGCAGTTTTCTAGTTACCTAAGAAAATTAATATATAATTATATAATTAATTAACAAATCTGACTACTACGGTGGCACAAAGGTGACATGTGTGTGTTTTTGGACTATTTTAAATATTTTTAAAATATTTTTTTTATTGACGACAGCTTCTCTGTTCTGTATTCGTCAGTATGTTCTTCTAGCCTTATATTTAACAAGCTTTCTTATTGGATAGTCATATCTCGTTTTTTTATTGGTCGTAGTAGTTTATTTAACAACGCTGCCAGTTATTCGCGCTACTTCTTGAATTTTTGTTTGTAAGCGTCACTGTTTGAACAACATTTTTGCAGTAGTTTGTAACAAGAAGAATTGAATTATCAATTATACAAGATAATATGAAAATGAATTAGAAGATATATTTTACAAAAATTTCTTTGTTCTAATAAATCTCCAAGAATGTTAGAAAATCAAAAGAATTGACGTTCCAGTCAAATAAGAAATAAGGTAGAAATTCCGCTAGAGTCACATATTTGTAATCATACAAATAAATGTTCACTTTGTATGGAAATAAAAAAGGGTCCTAGTGTTTCTTAATCTTTACATAAGGTTAAAATTCATAAAGTAGATAAACAGTCAGACAAATATAATTTTGAGAGTTGTCGTATTAGAATAAACGACAGGATCAATACTGATTATTTATTTTGATTACAAAGATTTACTTGTTTGTGACTTGTTATAGTTTGGATTTCCTTTGGGTTTCCAGGGTGATGAAAATGTGTTAAAGCCAACTAAAAATGTATCACATTATAAGAACTATAAAGGAGCTACCGAATTTCCTGTTGAAATTGAAGAATATTTGGTCAAAGACTTAAGCCATGCAGCTGTCATTGGTCCTTTTAAAAATAGCCCGTTTGATGATAATCTTTTGACTTCACCCTTAAATTCTGTTCCTAAAAAGTCAGTTTCTGAGAGAAGGATTTTTTTGGATCTCAGTAGTTCTACTCTAATGCTGTGAATGATTACATTGACAAAGATGTATATTTAGGGGAATCTATTTCTATAGTATTTCCAAAGATTGATAATTTTATTAAACTTATTTTAGCCAAAGGTCAAGGATGTTTAATGTTTAAAAAAGATGTAAGACGTGCTTATAGACAAATAAGCATTATGTCCTTCACAAAACAATCTTGTATCCTTTGTTTGGGATAAGCATATTTTTGTGATACAGTTTTATCAATGGGTTTACGCAGTGCTGCTGCTATTTGTCAAAGAGTGACTAATTTTTTAGCATTTATTTAATATGATTTTGTTTTTGTATTTTCAATTATCAGGATGCCTTTTCAGGTGTTGAGAGACCCGATAATGCTCATATGGCTTATTCTACTTTAGGAAAGGTTTTAGAATATAGTTGGATTGAAGAGCCTTTAGATAAAAGCTGTCCTCCTGCCAGTGTAATGAGTTTTTTAGGAGTGTTATTTAAAACTTCAAAAATGACCATGGAGATCACTCCAGATAGACTGGAAGAAATTAATATTCTTCTTTCACTTTGGTTAGATAAAGAAAAAGCCTCTTTTAAGAAAATACAGTCCTTACTGGGTAAACTCCATTTTTATTAGCTCTTGTGTTTAATCCATTAGGGTGTTTGTTAGTCGGTTGTTTAACTGGTTAAGAGATTTGCATGGTTCACCCAGTAATATGATTTTTGATATTCCTCAAAAGGTTATAAAAGACATCCTGTGGTGGAGTACATTTTTACCTTTATATAATAGAGTTTTTTTTTTTTTTCACTGGGCTCGTGGTCAGAGCCAGATGCTATATTTTCTTCAGATTCTTGTTTAGAATCTTGTGGTTGTTTTATGAAGGGTAATTTCTTTCATTCTGTTTTTCCTTCTTTTATTTTAGGAAAACAGTTACATATAGAGGCCCTTGAAATGTTGTCATTGGTTGTATGTGTTCATTTATGGGGAAGCACTTTTAAGCACAAGCGTATTTTAGTTCTTTGTGATAATTTGTCAGTCTGCATCATTTTCAATACTGGGAAATCCTTTTTGCAGTCTTGTCTCAGAGAGATATGTTATTTTGCGACAATTAATGAATTTGAAATTAAGGCACAGCATTTACCCTCAAAACATAATCGAATAGCAGATCATTTATCAAGATGGGGTTTGAATCCAATTCATGAACAACAGTTTAAGATGTTAATCAAAGAATATGATTTGCTAGAGTGGAAAGTTGATGAGTCTGTGTTTCATTTTGTCAACAATTGGTAAATTGGATTTTAAGTCTTCATTGTATATATGTTTTCAGAGAATCATCTTGAAGTACTCACACTGGACTTAAATCCAACAAAAGAGCTTATGCTGTTGGTTCTCGTAGGAACTTAAAGAGTTCAATGAGAATCTTTTATATTTGTTTTTTTTTTTTTTTTTTTTTTTTTTTTTTTTATAAATTTTGTGGTTTACCTACTTCAACTGAAACATTGCAACTTTATGCTCAGTTTCTTAGCAGGTCCTTTAAATCTGTAGATTCAATTAAAATTATATCAGTTGAGTTAGATCTGTCTATTTGTTGTTAGGTTACAATATTGAACATATAAACAGCTTTTTGCTTAATTTGTCTCTTAAGGGTATTGCTAAAAGCATTCTGCACATAGTTAAACAAGCGGAACCTATAACTCCTGATATTTTGATGAGTATTCATTGAATTTCATGTTTGGACTTTTCTAGTATTGACAATTACACATTCTGGTGTTTATTTCTGTTTGCTTTTTTCTTAATGGCCAGAAAATCTAATCTCGTTCCAACTAGTTCTAAGGATTTATCTGAGCCTTAATTTTTACTAAAGTTTTGATGATAGTACATTGTTAGTTTCTATGAAATAGACTAAAACTATTCAAGCTGGGGAAAGGATTCTTATCACTCCTTTGTCTCCAATAATTGGCCCTGTTTTGTGTCCTGTTGAGGCTTATAAGAATATGATAAATTACATTTTTGCTTCCAATGAGGTAAGCCAGTTACCTACTATACGTTTCTTCTTAAACTACGCTCAGTTATTGAGGGTATTGGTTTAGATTCAAAACCATACTCCACTCAGTCTTTAAGAAGAGGTTTTGCAACTTCGGCATTTAAACTAGAAATTCCACCAGATTTGATGCAACTAATGGGTGATTGGCGTTCTGATGCTTACAAAAGATATAGTCAATATGATATTAAAGATAAAATTTAAGTTTCTCGTTTTGTTAGTAAAACCTGTTAAGTTATAAAGAAAAAATTTAATTATTGTCTCAGATTGTAGTATTTTTAGGTTGCTTTAACAGGTTATTGCAGTATTGTGTAGAATTGCAAAGAATATTGATTATGCATTTCGTCCTTGCGGAGAAACGTGTCTATTGTCGTTAGGATGTCTTAACCTTCTAGAAAGATTTGATATTCAAATATCAGCATATCATATTTTGCGCTTCTTTGTCTACACTTTTTATTTGTTTTCATCACATATTCTTTGTTATTAGTCTTTGTTTTTCTTCTCAATTTTATTTTTCTATTTTATATTATATTT